CATTTTTCTCACACTGGTTGTCGGTCTGGTAAAACTTTTTTACAATGAGGACAAATTCTTTGGTTGCCAACCGTTTATTATTCGTCTCTCTCCTACCTGGGACATGATTTCATACCCGAAACAGGAATTTGTGCCTAAAATATTTCTAACAGGCAGGTCAGACAAGTTGACACTGGTGAGATGTTCTCATTTTAACTGCTTTGGCTAATAATAGTGCCCACTCAATCGGTCGATTGTCTAAGCATCTGTTAGTAGACTTAAGAATAAGTGCACATTCAGTACCCGGTTTCTTCTGACCCACCACGTAAAATGAATTAACGGAAAACATTTTTGGGACTGCAAAGTGCAAATTCTACAAGTAGAAAATGTGACTTGCCAGACTTCTTTCATAAAGCGAATACGCACAAGACAACCTATGAACATACTTGAAAATAGAACCCATTTGGTCAATAAGAGGCGAGCGGAAAGTGATTATTTCGTGGTGCGATAGCTGTTGCATCTTATGCGTTTAGGAAAGTATTTCGGCCTAATGACCCATCGACTTCGTTGTCAAATGAAGTGGTTCCTGATTAATCTCAAACTGAAATCAACATTGTTCTCATTAAGTTCATTGTGGCTATTTTTACAAATTCTCCCGTGCAGACACAAGCGTGGTAGTCGAGTTCTGGGTGATCAATGTGAAATTCGAAAATCACACCACGATACCGAATGGTTCTATGGCCACGTTCACAGTTTTCGTCTGTTGTTCCCTTATGCGCAGTCACTATAATTGCAACAGACATTATAGATGCAGGAACAGTAGAAAACGACATTTGAACTTACGGTTGCATTTTACAGTAATGAAATGCAGTAAAGGGTCGTCAAGTCATGCTTACCTCGAGGGAGTGCAGTTGCTAAACACAGAGTTCGCACGTCGGACTGTTGTTTTCTTAGCCGTCGCTTCTTTTTTGATGCTTTTTTATTGATTGGATTGTCTCGATTTTCATTTATCTGCAGTACTCATTAAACTGAGAATGGTATCCAAGAGAAACCGCCTAAGACGGTTAGCTAAGCGTCTTGCGTAGAATTAAAAAGGTTCGAAACGCGATAAGGAGTCGTCAAATTAATTCTCATTTTGAAATATCACTTAATTTTTATTGCTCCGGTTTGGCCTTTTGCTGAACTCAGTGCGCAGACTACTGAGTGACAGAAATCTTGAGTTCTTTTGAAAAAAATTATTTCTGGCTGAAACAGAGTTTTCAATTATGGCTGGTTATAACGGATAATAACCCTGCTCCAATCCACTTAACAAAATCAGCCGTGATTTCCACTGCCGGCATAATTCACATTATCGTTAACTATATGCTCTGATTTCGCAGTCATGCAATGCCCGGTCGCATCATACTCACATTAGTCGTATATCCCTCACTGCCCAAATAAAGATGCATCCGGACCAAGGGAAATTTGTGAAATGTACCGTAGGTGTGCTAACTCGTGTAATTTTAACCAAAATTCTGAGATGCGTTTTCGTTTCGAAAAGATTACTTAAGAAGGATTTTAAAATTAATCATTTCGCAGCATAATTCCATAATAATTCAGTTACTTTGATATGCGGCTTTCAAATAAATTCTGTCCGGCCGCATGCAGAAGCCGCACTCTGTAAAAAAGTACTACTTAGGTAGCATGATTTTTTTCCCATCGATTTTCGATGTCCTTAAAATTTCACGTGTAGTTCATGGAAAGCATGCAGTAAGATATTCGTTCTTTCATTGACTTGGAAGAAAATTGCATTTTCCTCGAACTTTGAACTCGACGAGTATGTAAAGTTCGGTTTTTAAAACGCTTTCAATTTCCGAATAATTTTGAACCCGACCAGTTGTTACACTTGCATTCAAGGTTTACAACCTACAAGACGTACATTTACCGCATAACGAAATTCATACACTTCTCTACGGCATTAAAAGGAGACCACATGTTGTTCATAAAATTTAACGGTAGATCTGCGCCATATTGTAAACTTTACAAGCAACATGATCAAATGCAGAGACATGATGTTTCTTGAACGGACACTTCACGGTATTAGATAATCGCATAATAAGAAACATCCCTTAAACCGAATTATATCCTTCTTTTGAGTATAAAGTTGGAAGTGGAGGTAATTTTCTACCGAATGGGTAAAAGGAGGAATAGTCTTGTGCATGTCTTCTAAAAAAGCAATGCAGTTTTCAAGGGCATCGAAAATCGATGAAAAAGAATCATGCAACTTAAACAGGCACTTTTAGTGAGTATTTTTTGCATGCATCCGGAAAGTAGTTCGTTCGAAAGCCGAAATCCTGGGATAATTGGATTATTATAGAATTATGCTGCATGATGATAAGTTCAACAACTCCACTTGTTTATCTTTTCGAAAAAAAACACAGTTCAGAATTTCGGTCAACATCCCGTGGGCTAGCACACCTACCGTAGGTCAGCGTAGAACAAGTCGTAAGTCATCCAATGAAGTCGAAATATTCCTATCGTTATGGCAAAGATAAACTAAGGCCAGGGAATCTGTGACAGTCGCCTTTATTGGTAGTAAAACTGCAGTTAACTGCAAATCGGGAGTTTATGTCTCTACGGGCGGATGTACATATGCTAAGATAAATTTGCGCCTTTGATTGCTGTCTGCTTATGTGCTTTTACGTGATCCTTGTGTCCTTTTAGCGAAACTCTCCTTCATGGGTTTGGGCACCTGGGCTTATATTGTTCTGCAATCTATCACAGCGGTGTATTTTGATTAGGCTTAACGATAGCCAAAACACATAAGTGGCAAGCAATAGGGCTTAACTAACATCTGGTCTGAGTCAGCCGTAGTCATCGGCTATTTTCTGTGTTGCTTGATGATTAGTTTTATAACCCCACGTAGTTAATCTTTTCGAGTCGAAAACGCATTTCAGAATTTTGGTTAACATCTCATAATTTAGCACACCTACCGTAGGTCAGCGCAGAGCAAGTCGTTAATCGTCTCATGAAGTCGAAATATTCCCATTGTTAAGGCAGAGATAAACTAAGGCCAGGAGATCTGTGGCAGCCACCTTTATTGGTAGTAAAACTGCAGTTGACTGAAAATCGGAAGCTTATGATTCTATAGAAAGCTGTACATATGCTACGACAAATGCTCGTCTTCGATTGATGTCTGTTTATGTGCCTTTAAGTGATCCTTATGTCCTTTTAGCGAAGCTCTCCTTCATGGGTTTGGGCACGGCAATGAGTCTTCTGGCCGGATTCATTGCTCCAGTCATTGTGACCCTCGTTTCTGCCAAGAAACTCACTGAGGAGAGCGAACTCGATGTCTGGGAGGAGACGCGTGCCATCGATAATCCCCTGCAACCTTGGCCTGAAATATACGCCGGGCAAGTGCAGCTCGAAGTTGTCCGCATTGTATTCTGACGCTAATGAAGACTGTTTTATTTAAAAAATAACGAGAGTTCGAATTTGAGTCGGGGTTCTAATGAGTCATACTTAGTCATATATTGTCCTTATGCACACTTCTTGCTACTAAAGGCATTGATATCGGTAAGCAAGATGGTTACTCCACTGAGAAAGTTGGTAATAGTATGATTTTCAGCAGCTGCTTTAGCTGCTATATTAGCAATAGTCAAAGTTAAGGTGTAAACCGTCAAATTACTCATGTATTTCGCTATTTTTATTTTGCCTTATGCACATGGGAGATTTTAGAACCCTCAATAAGTGCTGCAGCGTGGCTAATGCCGTTTCTGGCAGAAACAAATGCTTTGAAGTAAAATATATGCTGGATAAGCCTTGAAAGCAGACGTGCGTGCGGGTCTTTTAGGAATCGGCTCTGAAATTTACCTGGACATCTCTGTGGCATTTTGGAAAGCATTTGAATTAAAAGAATGATGAATCCATTCACCTGAGAAGTGCTAGATTCATTTGTGACCATTCTGGCATTAATAACGTTATCAAAACACCGCTTCTATGGAAATAAGTAGTAGGAGTATTTATATTCGCAACGGTAATGCTAATTCACGTTAAAGGTGCAGGACAATATATTCAAATGCGCAATTTTGTGAGAGCATTTCACCTTATGTTCCGTCAAACAATACAGCACATGCGCAGGCGATACAAAGCGTAGCATAGTATGCTTGTTTGTTATGACTTAATCTTGCCTACACCTATGTCGTGTAAGAGACCATCATCTTCCGGCTATATCTTAAGAAAAGGATTTTTTGCCTAGGGATTTGGGCCTACGAAACGCTCATCTGCTAACCGAGGGACGACCTCGACTGGATGACGTTCAGCGGGCGTTCGGATTCTCCTCCACAGTTCTCAGTCGCTGTGTAATTTCCGTCGTCCTCCTTTTCCTCGTCATCATGCCAGCAGCGGCAGCCATTCCTGCGAGTTTAAATTACCAAATGTTTCAAGCCTGGGTAAGTCATGTGAAGCGATAATTTATTTTATTTTGTAAATACTGGCTACTTACGCACGTATAGTAGAAATTAAATATCACACGTTACCTGCAGGCACAGTTTTCAGGGGCCGTTCATTTCTCATAAACTGGGCAGATAGGGAATCCGGCGCATGAGCTCAAGCTAAATGCCAAATGCCCTACCGTCAGCCACTTTAACTGGAGTCGCGCTTAAAGGCACGGACTAAGGGTCGAGACGGACAGACGCTTTTAATAATTAGGTCTTCTGCATACTGTAACAAACTCTGTCCTGACGAATTTTCATTTCCTCCCTCCCCCCTCCCCAAGATGCATATCCTGCTAATCTGGCTTTCGGGATCCGCCATTTTCTGCCTCATCATGCCCATAGTCTTCGAGGTTGAGAACATTTATTTGGCCTACAAACGCCGACAAGAGGCAGAAAGGCCCGACAGCTTCAAAGCAGGACAGTCAGCGACATTCACACAGGGCATTGTGCAAAAAGTGTAAGCTTGTTTCTGCTTTTTGAAACTGGTTCCATCGCGTTTCCAAGCAAACTGTAGTCTTCTAGGAAGTGGATGTGTCACGCTCATTCCCAAGTGGCTTATATCGTTCTGCAATCTATCACTGCGGTGTATTTTGATTGGGCTAAACGATTACCAAAAAACGCATAATTTGCGAGTAATAGGGCGTAACTAGCATCTGGTCTGAGTCAGCCGTAGTCATCGGCAATTTCTGTGGCACAGACGCTCCCTGTGCCCTTTGTACTATGCGTCATCTCAAAAGAAAATTAAAAATAGACCTCAAAAAAATTCCAAATGAATGCCGAAAGAGCTCAGGACTTATACCACCATATGAAGACCAAAGCAATTCTTTGACTGTCAACAACTAATTGCTTACTCTAGGTCTGGTCAAGGATGATTAATCAAGGCTAAGACATTGGCAATCCCTTAAAGTGGACCGACAGATATTTTCCAATGGTATTGTATTCACGCGAGCGTTGAATGTGCCCCATCTAGCTACTGTCGCTTTCTCGATTTCTGACGTGAACGGCGATCTTCATCAAAAAGTACGTGGACTGGTGGGCGTGTTACTTTGTAACAGAGCCACTTATTTATCCAACGAAGCAATTTGAAAGATCAGAGGAACAAATCACCGTAGGAGATACCCAAATTTGAAATTCTTATCTTCGCAATGGTTAAATATAAGCAGAATATTGAGTTTACTATCCCTGAAAGGCGTATTTGTGATCCATTGCAACAACTGCAGTTACTACCACAAACTGTGGAGCTTCATCTCTGAAGGTCGCGCAGCGAATAGATGCAGAATTGTGTCTAGCCAGTGAAACTTAAATGACCGACTGCTGCTATAACATTAATTTCGCATACTAGTAATTCGATAATAAATGTACTTGGTGAAACAATGTGATCCTCCTGTAGGGCACGTTATTGAATCCCATAAAACGATTGATTGAGGCCTGACACCTTAGCAGTTTTCGCTCGATTCGGAGAGGGAGCCATAAGCGAGACAGAGACGGCAGAGGCGAATTTTCAAAATTAGGCAACTGAACCGTAAGAAGTAGAACAGCTGAAATGCGCAACGACTAATTCATTTAGAATTTGTGGAAGGCATGTGATCTTTCTGCACAAATTACTTTCGTGTGTTCCACGAAACCGCTCCTAGATCGACTTACTTATCCCATACTTTCGTTGACGATGTAACCAAGGGCACCTTTCATTGCATCCAAGGCATTTTAGCCTTTATGACGAAGATGAACGTCTTTTTCGCAAATAAAAATGTACAGAAATAATTGATGCCCACAAATGAACGCAAAGGTGATCTGCTGAAGTGCATTAGGACCCCAACGCTCCACGAATTATAGTTTTACTTCGTCGATATTCTTGTTTCCTTGGAGAAGTTTTGACCGTCTGGCCCTATAAAAAAGCAAAACACACATTTGACGGGGTTTTACCTAATGAATGGTCATGTGCTCTTGACCTCTGACGTCCATTTGGCATTCTTCTGTTTAGGACAGCGAAGAACTAAGCGTACGCCTCTATATATAAGAATAAATGTCCTGTCTACATAGACTGATGATGCCAAGTAACGGTGCGCGGATGAAGCCTGCTTCATTGCGGTGTGTATGCCTCATCTGATGAGCTGTGTCTGTGAAGCAACTGTTTTTGTGCGCATTTTTCGGCTCCTCGTGTCAGATGGCGACCAAGGTCACGATTGACAAAATTAAGAGCTAGATAGCCCGGAAGCATTTTCATCCACACCTCACTATCAGTGACCCGGCTTACGAGACATTAATCGGAATGATAAGGATGGGTTGCGAAACCCCCTAGATTTAATATGCATCACAAGACATTATGTTTGTTTCTGTAGGTTTCGCTTTGTATATTTATTCATAGTCACCGAAAGTCATTGTTTGAAATGCTGAGACAAGATTTTTTATTGGAATGAATCATATAGGTGGCACACCAATATAAATTAACATGCGATGTAATCCAAATATATGTTTTCCGTGTAAAGATGGTGGCTTTATAATTGGCATATTCAGAAGTTGTACTTATTAAAATTGACAATCTGACTGTTTTTTTGGGTTTCCATTGGCTTTAATGCTCCATTTCATCCAACATTTTAACGGAATGTATGCTCAAAAGCATCTATTATTATTATAATTTTAGAGGAAAGTACATATGTCCTTCTCAAATTTCACGCGTGAATGCAGGCTACCTATTTAGTTTTAAAAGAATTTTCGAGTTTTTTTCAGTTTATTTGGTAAGGATAATAGGCAAAGCCTTTGAAAACCCTATTGATTACATGTTAGCTCGTTAGAAATAACTGTACACGAACAAAAAAATATTCGCTATTAAAACAGTACTTGATTCGTTTGAGTAGCATTGTCTCAAAGAAAATATTTGTGGGACGTGGGGTCTTAGTTCAGACTCAGACTGTTGAGGCAAAACAGGGGACACAAATAATCATCCAAGCGTTTCTTGAAGAGTTGCAAAGACGTAGCCTCCACGACTGACTGAGGGAGATCGTTCCATTTCTCCACTACCCTCTGCGTGAAAAATGCAGAACGAAGATTCAGCCTGGTCATTGTTGTCCGTAACTTCATCGAGTGACCACGAAGATTGGGTGAAAGGTGCCCCTGAAACATGTCCTCAAATTTAAGTCCATGCTCAAGGTCATGTATTATCTTGTAGACGAGGATAAGATCACCTACTCTCAAATTCATTTGACTCCTTCAAGACATTGCGTCACTTTTGGACTTCTCAAATTATGCCTACGTACTGAAGAACAATTGTTTATTTATATGTAATGTTAAGAAGTTAGAAGGAGATAAGGTCTAGACTAATGACTTAGGCTCTGTTAGGGTTGATGCCAGGGTTACCGGAGGGAAACAGGTACACTTCCTGGGATTTGGCGTAGGGCCACCGGTATTAGAGGGAGCTTCTATTCCCGCTTTCCACCATTGTTTTAAATAGAAATGTTTTTAAACTCGAGTG